TAAAACCAAAAATATCACAAGCTGAATTTATGGTAGATTCCAAGCAACAAAAACAGGCTTAGAGATCATCAAATGTAACATTTTCCAAAATGTGTTCTGCAGAAGGCTACCCCTGTGGGGTGCTCTCCAAAAAAAAAAAAAAAAAAAAAAAAAGGCTGGGTGCAGTGGCTTCCGTCTGTAATCCCAGCACTTTGGGAAGCCGAGGTGGGCGGATCACGAGGTCGGGAGATCGGGACCATCCTGGCTAACATGGTGAAACCTCATCTCTACTCAAAATACAAAAAATTAGCCGGGTGTGGCAGCATGAGCCTGTAGTCCCAGCTACTCGGGAGGCTGAGGCAGGAGGATGGCATGAACCCGGGAGGCGGAGCTTGCAGTGAGCTGAGATCGCGCCACTGCACTCCAGCCTGGGCAACAGAGTGAGACTCTGTCTCAAAAAAGAAAAAAAAAAAAAGGCTACCATGGTCAAATAAGCTTGAGAAGCCCCACACGCTCCACCCCCTGCTCGCATCTGAGCACATTCAAGGCCCCACAGAGTCCCACAGTACATAAACTATGTTAAGCTCACATCCTAGCTTCTGTGGGGGGGCTGCAGGCCTACTTTCCCGGACTACAGTTTCTATGAGAAAATGCTCTGAACTTCAAATCTAACTGTCCATAAACTGGAAACTTCCTAAACATCACTGAATTTTCTTGATGATATCAGATAAAAACATAGGATATGTGATAACAGTACATAAAAACACATGACCCATAAGAGGTCTTTAAGGTCAAAAAAGCAGTAACTTCACAATTAAAAATGTATACATACTTATTCAGCTAAAAGATTAAATGTGCATTTGAGGTATTATAGGTTATTCTTTAGTTGGTTTTTTTTTTTTTTTTTTTTTTTTTTTTTGCCATTTGGGGCAGCCCAGGGGACTGATTCATATCAAAAGCATTTTAAGCCTTCAAGACTGGACTGGTATTGAACTGCCCTACATAAAGATACAAAATCCATGCTCAAAGAAGCTTTTTTTAGTGCAAGTGAAGCTTGTTGCATCTCAGAATTGCTCAAAGTCTCAGGTTAAGGCTGGTGGCCTTTGTTACTAATTTTGAGGTTTGACAAACTGTGTTCACCTAGAGAAGATTAAAATGGAGGATCTGTGTAAGATGAAAGTCCTTTGGAACGGATATGAGAATCCTAAGCTAGTAATGTCTACATTAAATCAAACATCTGGATGAAAAGATAAATGTTGAAGCAATTCTCTACATGTTTTTCCAAGTGTATGGGGGATATGATGTTCATCATAAAACGAAACAGTCGACTATTTCTTCCCCCAACATTTCACCTCAGTATTCTGGTGTCACATATAATTTATACATATAGCTAATAAACTCAAGGGGGCAGACAGTCCACAGAAACCCATTTTAGTTTGATGTGGAAAAATGCTTTAGATACTCTGATGAAGGCAAATTATGTATTACCTTAAAAACCAATTTTATTGAAAGAAATGCTGTAATACTTAGGAAAAAGGTGGCATTGATCCTGAAAAGTATCAGAATATTCATGTTGATGTTCAACGCAAACACGGTCTAGAGGCAGCAAGGTTTGGGGAGTCAATGTTTTCTTTCTGCTGTTTCTATTTTTTTTTTTTTTGAGACGGAGTCTCGCTCTGTCGCCCAGGCTGGAGTGCAGTTGCGCAATCTCGGCTCACTGCAAGCTCCGCCTCCCGGGTTCACGCCATTCTCCTGCCTCAGCCTCCTGAGTAGCTGGGACTACAGGCGCCCACCACTGCGCCCGGCTAATTTTTTGTATTTTTAGTGGAGATGGGGTTTCACCGTGTTAGCCAGGATGGTCTCGATCTCCTGACTTCGTGATCCACCCACCTTGGCCTCCCAAAGTGCTGAGATTACAGGCTTGAGCCACCGTGCCCGGCTTGCTATTTCTATTTTAATGTTTATTTATTGCTTCCACTTTTTCAATCCTTTCATAATGGCAGTAGGAAAACTTTGGAAGATAAATACACATCTGACAAACCTATCTTATGTCTTTTAGCAGAAAAAGGGTCAGGCTGTTAACTGACGTCAGCAGGCAGGGAGAGGGAGGAGGTGAAGGAACAAATGCTGAACACCTGTTATTTATGAAGCACTCTACATATGTTCTTTCATTTCACTCCTGGCAAAAACCTGCAAGGTAGAAACTCTTGTCTCTGTTCTCTAGCTATGAAAATTGGGACTCGGAAAAGTCCAGCAACTTCTCTAAGACCAGGGAGTAGACGGATAGCTGATTTGGGATGTGAACTTTGGTATTCCGTTCTTTCCATGACATCAGTCCAATCCCTATAGAGAAAGGTGTTTCACATAAACCAAAATAGATGTGAACAGGATGATATTTGACTGTATAAAGAAACAATCACATTTTACAAGAGCTGCAAGTTATGTTTAAGGCACCAGAAACCTAACACTGCACATCCTTGTAAACCCTGAATGAAATGGCTTTAATCAACACTTTCATCCCATGCAAACAAACGCTTCCTGAGATATTTAGAGTAGCCTTGCAGGGCGTTGCTTTGCAGTCTTTACTGTTACCACATACTACTTTTATATTACTCTCCTCAAGCCTCCGCAAATGGAAGGGATTTTTTTCTTTTTAAAGGCCCATGATCATTCTTTCCCAGTTTCAATGTTTAAAAACCAAAAGGGGTGAGGAACATGTAGCACGATACAAATGCTCTGAGCATGAGCTGCCTGACTCACGGACCTTAGGCTGGTGTAGATTTTGGAGTACAGTTGGCCTCGGCCTATAGGTGTTCATCAGAACGGGAAAACGTTGCTTCAGGCAGTCTTCTACCGATGACATTGAACTGGGGGCTGGTCTCTCATGAATATATTAATAGGTGATTCCTGATTCTTTAAATATGTATATTTCAAACCCAGTGAGCAGAGCAGAATCATCAAACTTAAGTGGCATTTTCAAATTCTTCTGATTATAAATATACTATATCAGAGATATCCTCAAGCAATTTGTACCACCTCAAGGGCTTATCAATCTTAAAGAAACATTTGTTGTTTCTTTTCATTGTTTTCATTTTCCAAGTTAGTAATATATGAGCTAGTCTTTTAGGTTTAATGACAAGTATGGCTATAAGTGGAAGTGGTGTAATCCTGTAAGGATGTCATTACAAGACTTTTTTTTTTTTTTTTTTAGCCCAGGCTGGAGTGCAGTGGCACGATCATAGCTCAGTGAAGCCTCAATCTCCTGGACTCAAGGGATTCTCTCATCAGCCACTGGGACTACAGGTGTGCACCACCACACCTAATTTTTTTTTTTTCTTTTACTAGAGACAAAGTTTCACTATGTTGCCCAGGCTGGTCTTGAACTCCTGAACTCAAGTGGTCCTCTCAACTTGGTCTCCCAAAGTACTGGGATTACAGGCATGAGCTGTGCCTGGCCAAGAGTAACTTTTTTAAAAAATTGAGACAGGGTCTCTCTGTCACCTGGACTAGAGTGCAGTGGTGTGATCAGAGCTTACTGCAGCCTCGAACTCCCACGCTCAGGTGATCCTCCCACCTCAGCCTCTCAGTTAGCTGGTACTACAGGCATGTGCTAATTTTTTTTTTTCTTTTGCATTTTTTTTGAGATGGGGTTTCATCATGTCCCTCAGGCTGGTCTTCAACTCCTGAGCTCAAGTGATCTGCCCACCTCGGCCTCTAAAAGTGCTGGGATTTCAGGTGTGAGCCACTGCACCCGGCCAAGACTAATTTCTGAATGAGCATATGGGCCAAACCTTGGAGTTCCCAATTACCACCTGTAGGTATCTAATGTGACTCCTATTCAATATAGAAGACTGCAGATTTGTATGAGGCAAACACACCTATTATGCCCTAGTACTTAGAAATGGCTACTAGAGAAACCGACAGACATAGTGAGGGACAAGGGGGCTGTAAGACCTTTACTATGTTTTGGTGCCAGAGAAACAAAGGAATTTCTCAAGTCTGAAAAGTGAAATTAGTAGTTGAGTAATGGTAGTTGAGATACTAGGTAGGGTTGGTGTTCTAAGTTGAATGGAAGAATGAAAATACTGAAAAATCTCTGAAGAGCCTAGTCTGCCAAAATGTACTTGGTGTTATGAATGGAACTGTGACCCACTCAAAATTCATATGTTGAAGGCTTAACATGCAGTACCTCAGAATGTGGCTGTATTTGAAGATAGTGCCCTGAAAGTGGTGATTCAGTTACAGTGAGGTCATTGGGGTGGGCCCTGATGCAATCTGACTGGTGTCCTTACAAGAAGAGGAAATTTGGACCCAGACATCCAAGCACAGAGGAAAGGCGACGTGAGGACACAGCAAGTAGGCAGCTGTATTAGTCTGTTCTCGTGCTGCTAATTAAGACATACCCAAGACTAAGTAATTTATAAAGGAAAGGGGTTTAATTGACTCACAGTTCCACATGGCTGGGGAGGCTTCACAATCATGGCAAAAGGTGAATGAAGAGCAAAGCCACGTCTTACATGGCGGCATGCAAGTGAGAGCTTGGGCAGGGGAACTCCCATTTATAAAACCATCAGATCTTGTGACACTTACTCACTATCACGAGAACAGCACAGGAAAGACCCACCCCCATGATTCAATTACCTCCCACCGGGTCCCTCCCATGACACGTGGGAATTATGGGAGCTACAATTCAAGGTGAGATTTGGGTAAGGACACAGCCAAACCATATCAGCAGCCATCTGCAAGGCAGGGAGAGAGGCCTCAGAAGAAACCAAACCTGCCGACACACTGGTTTTGCCCTTCTAGCCCCCAGAAGCTGTGAGAAAATGAAGTTTTGCTGTTTAAGCCCCTCGGTTTGTGGTACTTTGTTATGGCAGCCCTAGCAAACAAATACACTTGGTATGTATCTTAATACCGGGTAAACAAGCCAAACTAGCATGTTAACTATAAGTTGGGCTTTCAACACAGTCCAGGCCCATTTTGGAAAGTCTTTAATCTGTTGAAAGGGGGCAGGTACTCACCACATCGAAGGCAGTAAACACGTGACAGTAGTGGTGATTGGACTTCAAATCTTTTGTGATATAGGCAAATGTTGAGAGGTCTTCTGGGTCCTGGGCAGCACAGGAGATATTACGAATTTCATGCTCAGCAATTATGTTCTGGAAGAAATGACATAAATGATCATAGTTTTCCTCTGCAAACTAGCATATTTGACAACCAAGACAAGTAACCTGGGAAGCAGTTGCTTTCCTTCTTTCTGGAGTGTGCTAGACTAGCAACACTCAAAGTGGTCCACTGTATTATCTGTGGGTAAATGAATGCCAGATCTGGAAGAAATATTTTCATTTAATTTAAAACAATCTAACACAGTCATATCCTGGAGCTGCAGTTCTCACCAGGTGCTGTGCATGGAAGCAGTCTGGATGGCAGCCACTTTTTTCTTTTTTGAGACAAGAGTCTCACTCTGTTGCCCCTGGAGTACAGTGGTGCAATCTTGGCTCACTGCAGCCTCCCACTCCCAGATTCAAGCAATTCTCCTGCCTCAGCCTCCCGAGTAGCTGAGACTACAGGCGCATGCCACCACACCTGGCTAATTTTTGTATTTTTAGTAGAGACGGGGTTTACACCATGTTGGCCAGGCTGGTCCTGAACTCCTGACCTCAGGTGATCTGCCTGCCTCGGCCTCCCAAAGTGCTGGGATTACAAGTGTGAGTCACCATGTCTGGCCTCCACTTTAAAAAATAACAGTAATTACTAAGCATTTGACTTTCCATTCCCCGTGTCCACCTGTAGCTGTGCAGCACTGCTTTCTGCTAATTCTGTAAGGAAGGGAGCATCTGTCGCTTTCTCTGCGTGAGAAGAGATCTGACCCAACGAGGCTCTTCAAATCCCTTGCCATCATGCTTGCACATTGTTCTTGTGTCCTGCTCCTCCTCCCTCAGAGCAAGGGCAGGTACTGAAGGAAGCAGGCAGGTGGAAGCCTCAAGGTGCTTTCTCCATGGAAACTAAGGTGCAGGGGCCTGATAAGAGAAATACCACACTGCAACATTCAGGCCTTGGATGCCCTGCTTGATCTGGGCCCTGTGGCTATATAAACAACACTTTCCTAACTATATCCACTGTGTATAATTAGGAAGTGGTGCTGTTGCTGCCATTATTACTTCACAGGTGAAGCAACTGGTACTCAAAGAATTTAAGTGCCTTATGCAGAGCAGGTGCTGGGTTGGGACTGAAATTTAGGGTTGTCTGACTGTGGAGCTCAGGCTCTTTGAAATGCATTGCAATGCCCTTCATTGTCTCCACCTCCCTCTTACTGGCTTAGCAAGAATCGCGTTTTTTCCTCTCTAGCATCTCTTTGTGCCTTCTTCCCCGATGGGAGAAAGGTTGAAGTACCATTGTCCTGAAGCACAAAATAACCACGAAGCAGCTTGGCTGCAAACCCTGCTAGAAACTTCTTTTGATACGTAGATGTGTTTAAAAAGAAAAAAATAAAAAAAATTCACATAATCGTGCAATCATTTTTTATCTTATAATATCCCATTTATGTTTTTTTGCAGTTGTCACAGATGTAAAACCCTCAATGCTTTAGTTACTCTAATTACCTTTTAATTGCGCTGTCTTAAAAAACCTGTCGGCAATACAGTGTTCCGTGTACAACCATCAATGCCTAAAAATGCTTACAAAGTGTCCTTCCCTGCCAGCAGCCCCAGCAAGTACTTCATGTCCCTCACTTAACCAAGCTGAGTGGTTCGGAGGCAATTACAGAATTAAAACCCGCAAAAGAAAATTAAATTAAGACATTTTTCACCGTGGTCTTGTGTGTTGACATTACACGCAGTACTCTGTCAAAAAATAACTCGAATTGCAATTGGAATCCCATAAACAAGTAACATTCTATTGCAAGATAAGTTTCAAACTAGAAGGTGATGATCCTTTTCTGGCATCCAGATAGCATTCCTTCAAGTAGAAAACCAAATTAGGGATGGGTGAGTCTTCAAATGAATGTTAAAATGAGAAAAAGGTGCAATGTGAGGTGCTGTGGGAGTCTCTGCCATTATCTTGATTGGGGGCACCCTGGGAAGCCTGGGTGGATTTGGTCTCACCTGTCCAGGAGGCACTGTCACAGGAAACAGATGCAACTTTTACTAAGTTGGCATTTTGTGTTCTGGAGATCTTTTGCAAGATCTCAAGGTAGATCCACTTCTTGGGAAATGAAAAGTGCTCTGTGATTTTTATTGCACTGAACTCCCTGAATCTTGCCAACTCATGGGATGCCATGCTTGACAATTTCCAATGGTGCATGGCAGCACTGTGGCCAGGGGTAAAGTTGCAAAGGAGGAAGAGTATATCTTTGCTGCTCTCTCCTCCTCTGTCTTTGCTGACCCCTGAATTTTCTGGAGCCCTCTTCTTCTCTTTCTCTCTTTTTTTTTTGAGACAGGGTCTTGCTCTGTTGCCCAGGCTGGAGTGCAGTGGCACCATCTCAGCTCACTACAACTTCTCAGGCTCAAGCAATCTCCCACCTCAGCCTCCTGAGTAGTTGGGACTACAGGTGTGCACCATCAGGCTGGCTTATTTTCTGTTTTTTTTTGGTAGACACGGGGTTTCGCTATGTTTCCCAGGTTGGTCTCCAACTCTTGGACTCAAGCAATCCACTTGCTTCAGCCTCCCAGAGTGCTGGGATTACAGGTGTGAGCCACTGTGCCTGGCCTAGTCCCCCCTGTTCTCTATTCCCCAGGAGCCCAGGACTGTCTTTTAGCTGCCCAGGGAGGCCTGATCTCTGTGATGCTGCATGTTCCAAAATCAGCCTCCCCTCCAACTGTGGAAACTTCTACTACTCTATTCTCATTGTCTAAGCTAGAAGGAAAGCTCATGCTAGTAAAACTATTCTATATTCAGGTAGGAATAACTGATCACTGTGGTCATCCTAACTGGCACTTAAAAGATGCTCTTGAATTTGTATTGATAGCCTACGGAGGCAGATATTTTTGAACAGACCTTTGTGATATATTGCCAATGCCAGAATGGGGTGAGGACCTGGGATGTCACTACTGAAATACTGCCATCACTCTGCATCGTCTACCTGTGCAGAATGGTGAAGCCAGTTCTCTACATGCAGGACAAATCCAAGGCCAACGATACTACAGTTGTAGACTGTATGGAGACTAGATGGTAGACTTTCTCCTTGGAGAAGAAGCCAAAGAGGAAGACATTCTTTGCACCTCCTGTCATGCATTTATGAGTGGCTTTTCCACAAATTAAAAAGTGATGTCATGAAGAGGTACAGGTGATGCACCTCAGCTGAAAACTGGACTCCTCACATGTTCATCAGCCTCCATTTCTAAGCACGTTTTAAGAAGACTAGAGCTTTAAAAGGCTCAAGAGAAGAACTGGCGAGGGGCTCCTCCTGCCTCTTCTTGGGGATAGAAATTCTGGCAGCGTAGCACCCTTCAACAGGGAGAGATGGCTTTTCCTGTCTGCTGTTTTCCATCACGGTGAGAAACAGCTGAAGAGCTGTCTTACTGGTAGGGGTAGGACAGGATTCTCGGATCCAGCTAACTCATATGGTGGTTCTGAGAAGGGCATGTGGTGATGAAGTGATGCAGCCTAGAAATCTGCCTCTGGCCACTGCCTTCAATCTGAGCCCCGACAGGTGGGACCTTTCTCCTGCATCTCCTCATCAGGCCGGGCTTTTCCTGAGTGAGGAGACTGCAGTGTTCCCTCCAGGGCGGGGCTAACAGTGTAGAGCGAGGGCTAACTGGTGATGCCCTGTCGGGCACGTGATGCTGAGAACAGCACAGGTGCTTAACATGGCCTTAATTTGTCTCCAAGCTTCTTAGGAGTATTTGCTATAAAAAAACAATGGGAGGTCCACCACAGTGACTCATGTCTGTAATTCCAGTGCTTTGGGAGGCTGAGGCAGAAATATTGCTTGAGGCCAGGAGTTTAAGACCAGCCTAGGAAATATAGCGAGATCCCATCTCTACAAAAAATTTAAATAATTATCCAGGTGTGGTGGTGCATACCTGTAGTCTCAGCTGCTCTGGAGACTGAGGTTGGGGGATCACTTGAGCCCAGGAGTTTGAAGTTACAGTGAGCCGTGGTGGCGCCACTGTACTCCAGCCCGGGCAACAGAGCTAGACCCTGTCTCTTAAAAAAAAAAAACATTAAAAAAACCCCAAAACAACAGGCACTTGTTCAGGCAAATGTTCCAAAGTATTTTGTGCCCCCAAAATAGCACAGGCCTTGTTTAAAACTGGCATTCCAAAAAAATTTTTAAAAACTCAAAAAACAAAACAACAATGAAAGCAAAAAACAAACCCTGGCACTGCATCATTTTTAATTTAGCCAGATGGGAAGACTGAGGAGGGAGTCAGCATAGGAAGGCAAAATGCAACCTGCTCCTCAGCTGAGCACTGAATGCAGAAACCACGTCTCCTCTCGGAAGACCTCCCCTTCCGCCCCCCAACCTGAAGAAGGGTCTGTTACTAAACAGTTGCAGTCCTCCAGGCGGAATTCCCTGCTAGAGCAGCCTTTGGGCTATTGATCAACAGAAGGCTGAGGTGATTTATCTAAAACACTTTAGTGCTAAATCTATTGCAAGTCCCACTTTTAATTCAAGATCGCTTTCTGCTTCCTCCTTCTTAAATCAGGATTAGTGATTCAATTCATTTCCTAAGTTGCTAGGCAATACATTTATGAGTTTATAACTAGGCCTCTAACCCTTTCCCATGAATTCAGCCAAACCCATTTATTTATTAGAATCAAAGGAAAGAAATGCTTCAAGGAGGGTTCATCTTTCACAGAGTCTAATGGGGGCTCACAGGAAGGGAAGAGTAATTAACATACAATGAATTATCCATTGCACTTCAAACTAATTCGTGGAAGGTAGCTGTGGAGTAACAGAAAAAGTGTTAGGTTAGGGAGGTTGAAAATCAAGTTTGAGTCGTCCTTCATGACCAACAGGCTGTGTGACTGCAGGGCAGCACTGAGCCAAGGGACTGAGGCCTTCAGGTCTCCAGCTGCCCAGGGCAGATTAAACAACCCCCTCTCTGACCAGGGCAGGGGTAAGAGATGCAAGGTTAGGAGAGCACTGTTGAAGAATAAAGTACCATGAAAACATAAAATATGAACAGTAGGCTGGGCGCGGTGGCTCACACCTGTAATCCCAGCACTTTGGGAGGCTGAGACAGGTGGATTATCTGAGGTCAGGAGTTCGAAAGCAGCCTGGCCAATATGGCAAAATCCTGTCTCCACTAAAAATACAAAAATCAGCTGGGCGTGGTGGCATGCCCCTGTAATACCTGCTACTCGGGAGTCTGAGGCACGAGAATCGCTTGAATTCCAGGCCTAGTGGCCTCTAGTATCTGAAATGGTGAGATCTTTAAATATGCTTGTATATTACAAGTCCTTTGCTTCAAATAAAAGTGGCTCACTGACACAACACTGCCCAGTGGGGGAAATCCTTGGTGGAAACAGAAAGCAGGACTCTGGAGTTTATCAATCTGCTCCTTTTCTGCTGTGCTCTTTGCTCTAGAACAAAGTGGCAAACATAGGTGTCCCTGCAGACACTGCTAGAATCTAGGTGTCTGGGCATGGTTCCTTTCACACCACAACTTGAGGATGATCCTTCAACTGTGGATCCTCTGTCCCTTCTGAAGCCAGTCCTCCTGCCCTGGCTGGTGGTAGTGTTTCTCAGCCTTACCCAGTCACACTCCACCAGTACGGCCTTCCAGCATTTCTTTCTTCTATCCTTCTAAACACAATCTCTCTACTTTGGCTCCCTACACAACAACTACTAGACTACTGCCCTGAGTCATTCACTCTCTCCCTACCCACTGTCATACTGGGGGAGATCAGCTACCTCACAGGTCACTGGGATGTGGACCCTGTATAGTCAGTTGAAATTAACATCCTCCAATTCCTTTAAAAGCATATGTTGTCATACATTCACAGATCGGCTCCACTTGCCACCAACATAGGCACTTTGCCTTTGCTCTAGATGCTGAAAATATGTTGAGGACCACACTGCAAGGACTTGAAAAAATCTGCTGACCTTCTTTATTTAGCATCTTTATTTACACAGAATTATCTTTTGCATATCTTTCTGTGCTTTTGCTTCCAAGAGTAGTCATCAGTGAGCAGAGATTTACGGATAACTCATCTAATTATTGGCAATTAAAGCAGAAGTATCTCCTTGAGGTACAGGAGCATCAACTTCTGTGTCCCTTGACGTGTTAGTAAGCAACATACAATGGAACTGGCAAGCTCTCTTTGATTCCTCTGATTGTGGAGAGCGGGTTAGAGAGAATGCTATTAATATAGCTGCATCCAGCCACAACCCCAGCATCATGAAATGACCGACTTAGGACTGCAGGAACTTCTCAGGGCAAATGTCACTTGTTTAGAAATTGTCAGAATCCAAGTCTGCTAAAGTTGTTCATCTAAGAGAGTGTCAAATTCATCCACTGAAAATATACAGCTATTCAAGCTTTTCGAGCATAAATGGAATAGAGGGAGTTTCTCCAATTTAGAAAAAACAAAATCCAGGCACCAAAGTCTTTCCTAAGGTTTAGATACAGCAATAACAATGGTATCTGTGCCATTCTATAATATGTTCCATAAAGTGTTAGAACTTTTAAAACCAACGGACTATAATTTAAGGATAAAGTAATTTTATATACCAGGAACTAAAGATGCTTCCAAGAAATAAAAAAGCAAATCGATTGGTATTGTTCTTATTTGAGTCTCCACAATTATTATCTGTCAACAACCATCAACAATATTTTGCATAGTTGGACTCACCATTATGCTGATATTATTGGTCAGCATAATGATGCTGGTTATATGCTTTTTGCTTGGGTTTCAGAACTTTTTCTATAACTGTGAGGTTGTTTTCCCAAGTAGATTTGGGGAACTTGGGTTTATCTAACTACTGAAACAACAACCTCTTTTGTTACAGAAAACCAATTGGAAAAACTTCCGATTCAGATGCTGGGGTTTAACACAGACACCAAAGAGTCACTGCCTGTGAGACTTTTCCCTGGTACCTAAATCCAGTTGCCTTGGCTCTAAGTTGCTGTTTCTTAAGTTCACCTGTTTCATGATTTCTGTTCCCTTTCTCCAAAATGGAGGAGGTCCAGGTGGGAGGTCTGGGTGAGAGGTCCAGAGAAAAACCAGCATTCACCAATAGTAATCACCTCTTTTACCCTCCTTCTGTGCTTGATTAGTTGAAAGGATGCAGGAATAAAACACATGAACGTTTGGGGTTTTGTTAGGAGAAGCCAGTCAGCTTTGAGTTTAAGAAGAGGGACAAGGGTCACCCAAGCTTTCCACTTCAGCACCAGGACGTTGTTGTCTTTGTCAAGAAAGGAATGCTTTTTCAGTGAAATGCAACCCTGCTGACCACACTTGACATCACAGTCCACAAACTATTCCCACTGTGAGGAAGAAGTCACAGCGGAGCCACAGCATGGCCTGGGCTGCTTTTCTGATTGTGTCTCTTAAGAAAACAATACAGCTGAGGCTGGGTGCAGTGGCTCATGCCTGTAATCCCAGCACCTTGGGAGGCTGAGGCGGGCGGATCACAAGGTCAGGAGATCGAGACCATCCTGGCTAACATGGTGAAACCGTGTCTCTACTAAAAACACAAAAAATTAGCTGGGCATGGTGGCAGGTGCCTGTAGTCCCAGCTACTCAGGAGGCTGAGGCTGGGAGGCGGAGTTTGCAGTGAGCCGAGATCGCACCAGCCTAGGCGACAGAGTGAGACTCCGTCTCAAAAGAAGAAAGAAAGGAAAGAAAGAAAGAAGGAAGGAAGGAAGGAAGGAAGGAAGGAAAGACAGACAGACAGACAACAATACAGCTGAAACTCTCTCCCATCTCAGAGATTGGGAATTAAATGTAGTTATAAAATTAAAAAGTGAGAAAATTATCAACAGAAAAGACACACATATATATCTAGATAAATAAAGACAAATGTTCTAGCCCTTTATCTAGTAACATCTCCTCTGATGGAGGAGTGATGACATTGTTGACTTTTCAATCTACAAGTGGTTTTTGTTTTCTTTTTCAATGTTGTCCAGATCCAAAGGGACATGCTAGATAATAAGTGGCCACAGTCTAATAGAGAAAGCATCATGAAAAAGTGAAAGCACAATATTTATAGAAACCCCAGATCAAGCCCTTCCCCCAAATGGTGCCTTTCTGTATGTATGAAAGTGTATGTGTGTGTGTACATGAGCGTGTATCTATAGGTATATGTAGGAAGCATGAAGGTTGGGGGAATGGGATGATTAAAGTGGAGAATGCTGGTTATTATAGGAAGCAAAGGATTTTAGATCATATTCTCAAGACTGCGTCTGGTGCCTAAACCAGAGAGAGGTGTGGTACGTACCTTATTTGTTGCATCAATAAATTTGACTCCTTTATATGAAACAGAAAGAATAATAGTAGGGACCTTCTTCATTTGCTCTGTAGACTTCTGAAATTAAAATTAGAAAGCTGTTAGAGCAGTTTGTGTTGCGTGGCAACTGAAGCACATAATTTTTCCTCCCGAAAGATAAAGATGAGCTCAAATTAAAAACAACACACACACACACACACGCACACACATCAGATACACACCACGCACACTCTAATTTTAATGTTTGCTTCTCCTCTCTTGGGTTGAGCTATACTTTGGGCTTATAAAGTTATCTGTCTTGCCCTTGAGGAACTAAAAAGAGCTTGTTCCACGACTTTGTGTGGATGAAGGAGTACTTCTTTTCCCCGACACTAAAGGGTGAATGAAGAGGTCTGTCTCCTACTGCAATTTCAAGTGACCATTCCTTTCACAAGAGTTACATCACGTTAGACTTAACTCCAAGGATGCATTCAACATTAACAAAATATATGCACCTCGGCTTTTCCTAGTTACCTTCATTCTTCAAGGCACAGAGAATGCTTGGATGTATACTTAAAATAGGGATGTGAAATACGTCACTATGTATTGTTCTTGAACTGGACCGAATCCAAAAATGCTGACATTATATTTACAGCAGCATCACTTGTGACTACACAGGATGTAATGATACTCTAGAACAATGAAGCCCTCCAGGAGCTGTCCGGGTTTTGAGCCACAGCTAAATGCTGGACAGCCCAGGTAACCTACTTTATCATTGAGAGCTGCTACATTCCCTTAGGCCAGGTTCTTGTGATAGATATTCACACTGGCTGAATGTGCTTGGAGTTTGCAGCTTGTACAGTTTTATGCATCTGCAAAAAGTTTCCCTATAATTGAGTATGTGCCTTTCCTGTTTAGCTTTCTCATTCATCACCAGTCACCAGCAGTCTGTTTACTTCATTGCCCTCTATGTATACTACTAATAATCACACTAAACATCAAGAAGAACCTACCTGACAGTTAGCCTGGTGGATTTTCCAGTTAAGACAGATGGGAACATAATAGGAGAGAAAACACATAAAAGGTGAGAGAGAGGAAACCATTTCAATAATTCACCAACAGTATAAATTCATTAAAAAATAAAAGATGCCAGAAAAGAATAGCCTTCAGAGTCATCAAAGAGGCAGTGCTACTGTTATTTTAGAAATGCTGCAGGCTTTCACAGGCCCCTTTCTTTCTCTGTTTCTCATCATTCTGTTTACTGCACTGCACAGTCTTAGGACTGACACACAAGAAACTTCCACTTTGAGCGTTCAACAACTGGCTGTCTTATGTCTATTAAGGGAATCAGGAAAAAATAGAAACTTTCTTGATTTCTTCATTTGTATTTCCCAATTTTCTAGTTTTAAATTCTGGAATGCGGCTAGAATTCAAGAAGGCTTTTAATTGGATAGTGTGAGTGAAACGCATTGAACTCAACGATGAGACTTCGATGGCATCTTTTAGTTGAGCCATGAAAAGGGGTGTTTCACATTTTCCTGATTGTTTTTGACACAACATCTTTTTGAGAGCTACTACACTGTTTCAAAGACAATGGATTACTAAAAGTATTGTTATTTAATATTTGTTGTTTTATACAGTATGTGAAAAAGCAACTCTCTTGAAGTGCTTTTTAATCAGTTTTAAAATTCCCTGGACACATCAGTTTTCCTTTGTGATTGCCAAAAAGAGAGATTATGGAAATAAAATATAAGGTTAGAAACTTGTTTTAATGCTTCTTCCAACCACTTCTTAAAAATGTACAAGATACATCAAAGACAGGCTAGAGGAAATCATATGCAATGTGTTGATTTTAAGGCAACACGGAGGCTGAACTCTGTAAAGAGGGAGGGCTGGGGCAGCCCAGGCAATAACTGAATGCGTATGTGAAACATTTTCTGCAAAGTGTCACAGTGGATTTTGGTAAATCACCTCACTTATATTTTGCCATGAATCCATTCTCCTGGACAGATCTATCTGTAATGCAAAGCAATATATAGCTAATATTCAGATAAAAATCCATTTGTTATTTGTTCAGCAATTGAGTTGTCACTTTAGGCAACCCACTGTGCTTGTCACTGGAAAAGCTTGAGTCTAGTTCAGGGATGGCAAACAGACCTCAAACTGTGTGCAAACACCAGTCTGCTGAAAGTACTGTGTTGAGACAGATTCTGAGCTGTGTCTGAGCTCAGTAGAAAAGAGGGCTGGGAACGATGTCTGCCATGGGAGAAGAAGAGGAAGAGGCGGCCCAGGGGCCACTCATGAACATGCCTGCTAGGTCTGATAGGAAGAGCAGCCACAATTACAATGTTGACAAATGTGACAGGAGCAATGTGAACAACATGCCTCCAGGATAGTGAATAAAAACAGCATTACTTTGCATGACAGAGTGGGGCCAGTCTTCATTCATTCATTCGAAAGACACTGACAGCCTGCTAGGGGTGACTGAGCTGACTCTTGATGAATAAGCATTTTCCAAGTGGCAAAGAGGCCAAAAGAGGTTGTTTTAGCAGCAGAACTAATACATGCACAGAGGCCTAGAAATGAGAATGTGGTGGGTTTGGGTAACTGGTGGAGATGAGAGTGGTAGAGTTGGTTTGGAAGGTTGTTACTTACTCTGCCAAGTTAGGGTCCATTGGAAGCTTTTCACTAGAGACTGACACAATCAGACCTGTGTTGCAGAAAGACTGTTCTGGTGGTTGTTTATGAAGGAGGGACTGGAAGATCTAGAGGCTGGATACAGGGAGTGAGGAAGCTATTGTGCAAATCCAAAGGAGAGAGAGACCCTGAGCACCTGAGTTGAAGTAGAGGCATTGAAGAACAGGAGGAGGAGCCACAATGTCGATAAGGAAGAATTGAAAGGTTCTGTCGAATGATCTGCCATGGAAGATGAATGGGTGGGAGGATGCCATGGATGAAGAAGCCACTGAGATAAGGAATACTGGAGGGGAAAGTGTTTTTGCATAAGCATAATGGAAATGTTTTTGCACATGCTCAGTTTGATAAGCAGGTGGAGAGGTCTAGTAGGAAATGAGAAATGAGAATCAGACCTGGAAATCCACCCACATACATGGGTGGCCAAGGAGATGGGAGCAGACAAGGTGCTTTAAGGAGTGAACAAGAAAAGGGGAAGGACACAACTTAGGGGAGGATGAAATCCCAAGGGGTGGGGCAGAAACAAGAGCTAATGAAGGACTGGAATTGAAGCTGGAAGATGTCCCCAACACAGTATTACAGAAGCCAAGGAGGAGAGGGCTTAGAAGGTAAGAGCAGTGCCCCATGCCATGAGGACTAACAAGGCCTAAAACAGTGTGCCTACCACAGTGGCTGGCACACACAGGAGCTGCTACTTTCACTGGGCTTATTGGGCGGAATCCTTGGCTTTTGCAACAAGAAAAAATTGTTGCTGATTTCATTAAGAGTAGCTTCAAGAGAATGGTGGCAGCAGCTGGAGAGGGGAATACAGTGAGTTGTGCAATGGATGCCAGTGAAAGGAAGCAGAGCTGGAGCAACAGGCAGGTCAGGACACAAGTTTTTGACCTGACATGAAGGCTTCAGTGGTGGTTCCTGTCATGGTACAAAGATTCCACATCAGATGCTTGGCCAAGTTGAATGAAGAAAAGAAAAGACAAAGTATAGTCATTTCTTTTTCTTCCATGGGTCCCAAGAATCTCTGCTCTCCTAACTGGAGGCAGCGCTGTGCACAGGCCTCTATGAATGGCAGTGCTGGGGGTGGCCATGCTTTCCAATCTGGAGCCCAAACTGCACTGCTCTCTCCACTGAGTCATTTGACAAGAAGCTGATGGATCCTGACCAGCCACGGAGTTCTAAGGGAGGGTGGGAAATCTTCCAGGTAGAGCCCCTCCTTGAAGGCATTTATACTCTCTACAAGAGATAAGAATCCATCGTCTTTTAAAGGGGTTTTCTGATGGTGTACTTTGACAAGCGTTTCCAAAGAGGTCTTTTCATACGTAATTTTAGCAAAAGATGAAAATGCATATAAAGAAGGCAAAGAGGCTAGGCGTGGTGGCTCATGACTGTAATCCCGGCACTTTGGGAGGCTGAAGTGGGAGGATCACCAGAGGTCAGGAGTTCAAGACAAGCCTGGCCAACACAGCGAAACCCTGTTTCTATTAAAAATAAATAAATTAGCCGGGCATGGTGGTGGGTGTCTGTAATCCCAGCTATTCAGGAGGCTAAGGCAGGAGAATCACTTGAACCCGGGAGGCGGAGACTGCAGTGAGCCAAGATCGTACCACCGCACTCCAGCCTGGGCAACAGAGTGGGACTCTGTCTCAAAAAGAAAAAGAAAAAAAGGCAAAGGTCAAAGTTACTGAGTCTTCGGGGAGTCTAATCTGGGAGGCAAGAAATCTAATAAGCGCCCACTTCATTTATGAAGGCTTTACAGACATCAAAATGTGAGCATGGGGCTTCAGTCCAATCACAGGCAGTCAAGGTCCCTCCCTCCCCATTTTCTCTTCAGTGTTATGATTGTCATTCTTTTCTCCTTCCCAGGGACGAAGGCGCCTACTCTGAACATCAGGTTACTGGGCACGTGCTCTCAGGCAACACTGGTTTCTATGACCCATCTATCTGCATGCTCTGCTGGGTGTCTGTATAATTAATACTCCCATATGTTTCTGTTAAAAATTCAAGCTTTATTGATTTGTATAAACAGAACTCTCTACTTCAGGCCCATTTCCCCAGTGAAAGATGCTCAAGGCGAACCTTCTGTTACCGTTCTCTTTTGTTTCTAGTTGCTTTTCCCAATGCCATGCTCTTCGTGGCATTTTTCAGGTTTCCCAACGTTCTCAAATTCACCCCCCTTCAGAGCCAGCTTTACAGAAGAGACTACTTTATACTGAAGACCTCTAAGTACCTAAGCAGCTAAATACTCCTGGGTAAGGCCCCAAATTATCTTAATTTGTACAGCATCTTGCTTGCCTGCAAAAAGCATTATACTGATATTCAAATGTATTTTGTTCACAATTTCCCAAATTAAGATGATCATACTTTTATTATTCCAAGAGAAATGATATTTAGTTATATAGAGATGTTACGTTTCTGAAACCTAAAATACAATGCAACATTTGAATCCTAAATTCAAAGGCAGTCTTCTCTTTAAGCACTTGAGTTTATATTGTCTATAACCATTAAACAGAAATAGGAATCAGAATTTCATATCTGGAAGTGGCCACCTGAAATACTGTTCTTAGTAAGTAATTGAATGCTTTTAGAGTGCTTTTAAAAAGAAGAGATTTTGAAATCACCAAGAGAAAGAGCCATCTTTCTTCTTTTCCTTTTTAATTTAAAGTTATGAACGGCTTGGTATCAGGTCAGAAATCATCATTGGTGCCTTTATTACTGCCTTAAAGCATGTTCTGAAAATAAGCAGGTTTTCCATTTTGAATGCAGAATCAATAGTATGGAGATACCCTTTTCAGAGTGCACGAACTCTAATTTCAGAGCATGACTTTTCCAAGTGCGAATGAAAGCAGAGGGGTTTATGATGGGGATAACTTCAGTTGTGAGCTGTAATGCTCTTTGAGTCTGGAGTGGTGTTAATGTTCTGAGAGACAGGGAAGACAGTGAGGCTAACGTGGGGAGGATGCCACCAACCCTTCATTCTTACAATACCCCGACTGCTCCCAGTGTATCTGAAGCACAGGCTGGGAGAAGGGATTTCCGGATGGTCTGTTGCCATCCAACTTACAGTATATTTTTAACCTACACATGGCTATCCTGAGAATGCTTTCTAGTTAGATATTCAGTCCTGAGTCATAACTATTAATTTTGGCATATAATATCTTCCTTAGTTAGATTCAAAGCTTAATTATTATATTCCACTTCAGCAAGTAAATTAAAATAGGATCAAGCAATTATGTTTGGTAGCCCTAAGTGACTTTCAAATGATTAAAAAACACACACAAAATAAGCATTATTGTGGTGATTTTGTAGGCAGTGAAACTAGCTAGGTTGTGGGATT